CCCCCCCCCAGAGGACTCTGGGATTGTCCCCTTCCACACCCTTACACCGGATATTGGCTCAGAACCCTCCCCCAGGACACCCCAAGTTAACAAGTCCCCCCTTCCCAACACCAGACTCTTGAGAGCACTGATCACTGAGTGGGGTGAAGGCCACCTCTCCTCCCCTAGTAAACTCGAGACCCCACGCAGAGAGGAACACGGGTGTTTCATCCATCACCGTATCCGCTAGAACAGAGAAGGGGCTCAAAGTTTGTTAAATTCATGAAAACCCCTATGAGAAAGGCGTGGGTCCGCAGCCTCCTGTGGCCCCCTGGGCGCCTCCTCTTTGGGCGTGCGTAGATGAGATGGCCACAGCCAGGCTCCGGGGACCGTCCCCTGACTACAGATCCGCATGCCCTCTCTGGCCCCTGGCCCTTTGATAGGGGTCACGGTAGGGACGTCGGTGGTCCACCAACCTCTAGCAGCCACGCTTTCAGGGCACCCAGCCCCCCAGCCAGAAACTCAGGAGTCTCTCGAGTCCCCTTCTTCACCCCTGTCTCTGGCCCCCTTACGACCACTCACAAGACCGTGTCCCAGCCCGACCCGTCCTTAACTCCTCCGCTCCCACTGAAACCCCGGCGGCCCTCCACCCTGACCTCATCCTCGCCTCAAGCCTCACCTCTCCTCCCCCGCCCCTGGCGTCCTGCGGTCACACCACACTGTTTGCAGTTCCAGAACCGGGCTTCTCACACCTGGGCCGCTGTGAGTGCTCGGCATTCTCAGGGCCAGGCGACCACGAGAGGCTTCCGCGGATCTCCGACTACCACCAACCCCGTCCGTGTCTGCTGACTCTGCTCCCCTTTGCTTTCCCCCGCAGCCCCCTCTAAGACGGCGGTCTGCAGATTTCTGTGTGCACCATTAGCAGCCACACCCTGGAGCGCAGTGCCCTCGGCCAAGGGTTTCCATCGGCCCTGTTCAGTGCCTGTGGTGCCTGGCACATAGTAGGTGCTCAGTAAATACATGCTGTTGACGGTTTTGTGTCCTCCCGCCCCCCCCTCCCCCAGATGTCCAGCCCTTCCCTCCCTCCTGGTCAGCTCGAGGATCCCTTCCTCCAGGACCTCCTTCCGCCTGCCCCAAAGAATCAAGCTGCTCTTCCCAGGCCCCAGTGTTTCCAAAGCCGCGTCAAGTCAGTTGTTTGGGCAGATGGCTGGGGGCTCCCAGGACAGAGCCACATCTCAGTCCGCGTGGTTTACAAAACGGATGCTCCATAAATGATGGGGAGTGAATTTAGAACTAGTGACCCAGGGGCAGACTGTTGTTCCCCGAGGCCCCAGTCTGTCAGCTTACTTAACTCTCCTCTGGAAGCCCTAGGAATGGCTGCGTCGACTCTCGGGCCGGGACGCACTGCTCGCGGTACTCCCTGACGCTCCACATCCTGGTTTGATAATAAGTGATGAGAACCCAGGGACCTGGAGACTGCTGTTAAGAAACAGGAGCGGGGCGCCCGGGTGGCTCTGTCGGTTGAGCCTGGGACTCTTGATTTCAATTCAGGTCATGATTGTAGAGTGTGTGCTAGCAGCTTGGAGCCTGCTTGGGATTCTCTCTCTCCCCCTCTCTGTCTCCCCCCGCCCCCCTCCAAATAAATAAATTAAAAAAAACAACAGGAGTGCTTGGGTG